ATATATAGGCTACTTTGCACAAAATCACCATGATAAGCATTAATCTTTTAAGGACAGCAGTTGTTTAGAGGGGACATTGTTAATAATTTGCATTGTAAAAGGAATTTAACTTGTCAGCTTACATGAGCTAAAGGATGTCCAGGAGGCTTGAAAACTCAATATAGAGTCCATGTCCCCTCTTCGTCCTTTAGAGCACGACTTTTTGATGCAACTTGTGTCTAAGTTGCAAGGATCACCATCCCCAGTCCCAATGAAAGAAATTGGGCTTAAAAAGTGGAAAGTCTCAAAACGGCATTTGTAAATTTCTGAGTTTATATACTCGTATTACTCATGAATGTGTCACATTGTTGTATAAGTATGATCAAGGTTAGAGTAAGTCAGCTGTGACGTCCTCCTGAGGTGATGAAAAACACTCAGTGATTGTGTAGGTGTGCGTGTTTTTACACGTGGGTGACCAGAGATGGAGGAGCTCTGCGATAGTGTGATGTACTTTAAGATACTAAATGTGTTAGACTGAAGTGACCATGTGCCATTAGTGAGAAAAAGCTGAAGAAGAGAAAGTGATGATTTTTTTTTTAATTGATATGCTGGGAGTGGATATGTGTGGATGTGACGAATGTGTGATTTTAAAAAAAAGGAACTGTGAGAGTAAAGTTTGCAAGTGGGATGAGGCAGAGACGGTAAAGATGGGTGAATAAAGGCCATAGGGAGGAGAGGAACAAAAAGAAGTGAACACGCCAGGGAAGGGTAGAGAAGAGAGAGGAACAGAGGAGTGAGGGCAATGAGCTGGATTGAATACCATCTGACAGGTCCAGCTGGGAGTTTGCCCACCCTGCAGCACCACAAAACCCCTCAATATGGAGGCCAATTACTGCTGCCCGTGTGACCGTGGCATGGCAGCATCAGAGATGCAACCCTCCTCCGTGCCTTTCCTTTCACTTTTTTTGTGGCTTACTCCCCTCCTTGTTTCCTCACCCCTCCGCCACTCCTTAAAATAAATAAATAAAAAAAACTCTGCCACCATCTGTGCAGAGTAACAACAACCTCTATACCCTACAATGCGCGACACAAGCTCCACGCTGCAGAAATACATTTTCTTTTTGCTTTTTCAATTACACAACCCAAGTGTGCAAATGTTAAAATGTGATTTTGACCACATAACCTCATGCTGTGAGTTATGATGCTCCCACATTCACTCGTTCTTATAAAGGCAATCATTGTTGAACAAAGTTGGTATATCGCTTAAATCCTACAGAAAAAAAAATAAAATAAAAAAATCATTATCATTCAGTCTCAATGTTCTTTTCCTTGCACCACATTTGGTCCCTATTGTTAAATGCAACATACAAAAAAAGATAAGTGACAAAAAAAACAAAAACTACCCAAATAAAAGTAAAAATGTAAGCAAATCATTAAAATCTTTGCAAAAAAAAAGGGGAAAAAGGAAAAGCAGAAAGGAAAATACAAAACATTGATAATGCACACATAAACTCAGTGATGGTGTGTTAAAGGTTGTGTCGCAAATGTCTCTGTATTGTATGCTTTCATTGTTCCTGAAGATGCAGTGGAATTTCACTCCTTGCCAGCTTCAACTACATCCCATTCCATAGATCTGGGGCGTGGTGCTCAGTCTGGCAGGGAGGGTGAGTGGTGATGTAGAGGCACAGAATGCCCACAGCAGTGGAGGTCACTCTCAAATTTAGCTCTGCATGCCGCCTTACAAAATCAGATAAGTGAACAGTTCAACCAGTGAGGAAGAAGTGACAAACAGAGCATGTCTTACATACATCATGCATGCACAAATACTGCCCCCCAGGAGATTCCTTCTGAGGGATTTTCACCTTTATCTGTTCACATAATTAAACATTTTTAAAAGGCTTATCTGCTTTAGCCTACTTTCAATGATTTCAAAAAAAAATCTTTTTCTCACTGAAATTTTTTCATAATCCACAAATAATTAATCCGATAAATGTTTGTCTAATTGAATAAATGGGGATAAAGCTGTCCAGATGGAGGTGTAAGCACAGTGGGTCTGCCTGGATGAGCTTATGGGGTTTCCACTGAATCGGCTGATCACTTTTAAAACAGTGAAACTGACCCAGGGTGGATTATTTAATTACAGTAATTGCATGGCATTATTATAAACATTTATATAAACAGCTTCACAATGACTGCGATCCAAATTAATTGATTTTATGCATTTTTAGTCGTGTCAGTTAAGCCTATTTGTCACAGATATTTAGAGCAACCACATGCTGCCAGACCTCAAAGTCACACAATCGGGTAATTTTATCATTGGATTTAACTGAGGAAAGTATTTCAAATAATAATAATGAAATTAATATAAAAATACTATATTTAACTTTACTTGTTATTATTATACATTGTATTATTATTTCCACTATCATTATAATTAGTAGTAATAGTAGTCTAAGTAGAATTAGAAATGTGGTGCATGAAAGTCCTCCATCCCAATTTTGCGGTCAGCAGCAAGTGCGTGACCGCAAACCTGCAAAAAGGTCTCACTGTTTTATATAGGGGCCACGCGTGGACACTGTGCCACCTATAACAGTGGAGAATAATGAACAGATGCTGAGTGAATTAGGAAAGAAACACCGGGTCCCTCCCACAAGGGCCTTTGGCAGGGGCCGCCTGGCTGCCACGTGGCGCAGCTGGCACCGGGTCGTCCGCGATGGTGGGCTTTCCATTGGTCTCTGGCTTTACTGGTGCTCTGCAGACATTTAGCGACTTGGCACTTCCTTCCGCCATCAAATTGTTGGTGCCACCCGCCGCCGCACTTCACAGGGAAAAGGAAAAAATCTAATTGAGAAGGAGCAGATAGTAATAAAAATAATACATTAAACGCGACAACTTGATAGCCTCATGCACTCTCAGGACAATACTTTAATTAAAAATGGACAAAGAGTCAAGAGACCATCTTTAAAAGATTTAATAATAGTTCTGATAATAGTATAAAAGTCTAAATACAACTAAAAAGAAAATCTATTTTCACTCCTTCGGCTACTAGTGTTCAAAAAGCGCATCAATCCTGTAAAAAAATTAATAAATAAATAAAATGAAATCATCTTATATAGGTTGTCTGATGAAAAGCAGTATATTTTAATTCCATTGTTAAATAATTTACGTTGTGAAATTCTGAAAACAAACAAACAGAAAACACACCAACCAAACCATAATATAATATTTTACGCAGATTTGAATAAAACAGCCGCTTAATATTTTGAATTGGTTTAATAATATATATATATATATATATATATATATATATATATATATATATATATATATATATATATATATATATATATATATATATATATATATATATATATATATATATATATATATATATATATATATATATATAGGCAAAACTGCACATTGTAAATTGGCATAAAGTAAATTTTTGGGGGGGTTTTGTGTTGCTCTACGCGTTTTCTTCTAAAATTTCAATTTCAACAATAGCCGTGCACTCTTTTTAGCTTTACTTAAATGTCGCAGTATGTTTTGAATTCCTATCTATGTCTGATTAAATCAGTTATAATAAGAGTCCTCTCTGCGTTGGGCCTTTTTCTGGGGTTGAAGATGGCCCACTGTCCGGATTCTGCATCAGAACGGCTCCTTTTATTTATTTAGTGTCTCTGTTCAAGCTTAAATAAAATCACAAAACAAACAAACAAAAAAACATCTCTCTCTCAACGTGTATACATATTTATATCGATTTATACTTTATACGTTTGTTTTCTGTAGTTTTCACGGATACGTTTTAACATTTTCTGGCCAGTTTCAGGGTGGATGGGTCATCAACTGCGCTGATTACCCCTGGATGTCAGTGACAACACATGAGGCCCGGGGCTCTGGTCCAAAACCCACGACTCTAATATACATAAACTCAGAATATCCAAAAAGTGATTTGAAAGAAGTGTAGGTTTAATATGGATTAACTAATTAAACGCTGAAGGCCTACTTTTTATTTTTCAAAAACAAAATACGAAATCGGATCAATTTGCTGTTTTGACTTTGTATAAAATCTCAGATATTTTTATTTGGATCTTTAAAAAGGTTTGCAATTTATTTTTTGCATCTGGACATAACCTAATCATAGCACTCACCTGAGAATCGAACCAGTGTGTGGCTGGGCTCAGACCAGAGAAACATTGACCAGAGATCACGCATACTTGGATCATAGAAATATTCTGCACAAGGCCTGATAGCTCTAAAGGAACGAGCTGAATTTAACTTAGTAAAAAAATAAGAAAGGATGCACCAGAAATATATAACTTCAGTGCATAAATATTATATATTTCTAAGCTCTAATATAGTTTCTACAAAATGATTTTGTTCTTAAAAACTAATCTGGGGCATTTGGCACATTTGAGTCTGAAACTGTGTAAATTGTAGGATACATTTAATTAATAAATTATTTTCTAAAATTTTCTTAAATAATTCTCTGTTTCGTGAGATTTTGTGCATGAACTGTTTTACAAAGTAAAATGAACCACACTAAAATGTGTGGCTAATTTCGCTTGGGGCTCCAGGATGGCGTTTTGCAACAGGTAAGATATTTATCAAATTTAATTTAAATCATCAAAACTGGGTCATCTAAATTCCCCGTATTTATTTTAGGTCAATGGATTGACATGTTTAAACCTGAAACCAATGTAGCAACAGGTTGATCAAATATATAGTGAACTTTATTGCATTAATATACTTTTTTTTACATAGCTTTGGATCCAGCAATGTTTTCTAAATAGCCTTGATATAAGAATATAGTTCAAGTAAAAAAAAAAAGTAATTTGTTGATATAATGGACAGCTTTATCTTTGAGATGCTCTTCATGAATCATGCGAATTAAAACAAAGACAACCTTTTTTTTATGAGGAAAATAACATTTCCATCATTTATTTTTCTTTTTAGTTTTTTATTTCTTAATTCTTTTTCCTTGTTTACATCAAAATAAGTTGGCCCAACTCAGACAATTATAAAACACTTTCTTTTATTATGTCTGTTGTTTGGTCACAACATGTTCCTAGTTGACTTTTACATTTTAAGTTGCACTCATTCTGCATATAGGAATAATTTTACTGAACACACTTTTTGATAGGATGTACAACAGTATAGAGGTAACATACAGAAGATATTCATTCAGGAGCTCCGACTGTTGTTTTAATAATAAACGCTTTAGGATTGTATCTGTAAAGTCGGTAAGTCTGCAGTTTTATCCCTTTTTTTGAAGCTTAGTTGTGGAAAAAAGCGTTCAGGTCCTCATAAGGTGGCGCCCTGTCGTGGTGCAGGTGGACGTCGTGAAAAGGTGGGATGTTTTCTGAGTGCGCGCCTCCACTGCGCGCTCCCGATGCTCCAAAATGTAGGCTATGGCTGGGCCTGGATGTGGTCAGTCCGGTGTAATGCATAGAGTAATGATAGCTCCTGTCTGTGTCTGAGGTCTCATGCTGCTTCCCGGACAGGCCGCCGTTCAGGCACACCGGTGGGCTGTGCTGGCCCTCATAGTCCGGGCTGTTGTAGTCTGGGGACGTCCCGCCCGGCATATACACAGACTCGTACCCGGAGGCGCTGTAGGAATGGGCCCGCATGTTGAGGGACCCGGCTCCGGGCTGGTAGTGAGGACTAGAGAGGCGGGAGCAGCGGTAGGAGTAGGGGTGGACTGAGAACGGAGAGTTTGGCATGTGGAAGCGAGCTCCGTCTGCGCACTGCTCGGTTAGGAAGTTCCTGGTGTTGAGCTGCAGACATCCCGCCACCAGATTGGTGGTAGGCTGGGATAAGCCTTTACACAACATCTGCACGTAGGTCACCACATCTGGACGTTTCCCGTTGCGTAAAATCTCACCGAGGGCTAGAATATAATTCTTGGCCAGCCTCAGAGTCTCTATTTTGGAGAGTTTCTGGGTTTTGGAGTAGCAGGGAACCACCTTGCGCAGGTTGTCCAGCGCTGAGTTAAGGTCGTGCATGCGCGTGCGCTCCCGCGCGTTGGCCTTCATGCGGCGCATCTTGGAGCGCTCCACACGCGCCGCGGTCATTTTGCGCTTCTTTGGGCCGCGCTTCTTGGGTTTATCCCCGCCGTTCTCGTCCCCGCACTCTTCTTCCTCCTCACCGTCGTCATCGTCATCGTCGTCGTCTCCAGCCATCTCGGACTCTGCTCGGCTGCTGCCTTCCTGGGGCTCGTCCAAGTCGTCCTCTCCGAGATGGCACGGCTCTCTTTCCTCCTTCACTTTGCATCCGTCTCTCTCGGTGTCCTCCACCCACTCCGCCGCCAACCGCTGGACGTCCGGCAGCACCTCGCTGAACAGACGGCTCAACATCGTAGCAGGCAACCTGCAAGAAGCAGACATAAGGCTTCAGCTGGACGATCAGGATCAAATATAGTCTACATTTCCATTCTCTTCTGCTTTGTCCTATCTTAACAGAAAAAAGCAACTAGTGCATTGAAATAGAATTTTCTTTAGGCTAAGGTTATTTTTTTTCACGAACTCTAGTGTCTAATTAAATCCATAATATACCTCTTTATAAAGTTAAATTATCCTCTTTCTGGAAGCAACATAAAATAAATGTATTTTCCTTTTCGTTTCACCCCTTACCCATTTCATATGTTTGTAGATATAGCCGTTTGGAAGCAAACTTTTCAGTAAACAAATCTAGTCGTTTCATAGCAACAATGCTTGATTACATACATCCATTTGCAACCAATAAGAATAATTCCCTGTAGGCACCAGGTCAATAAATTCTTAAGCCTGTTTGAGCTAATTCCGTCTCTTTATCCCTCCTTTTTCTGTAAACAAGCATGCTTTACTCATATATATATATATATATATATATATATATATATATATATATATATTTTTTTTTTTTTTTTTTTTTTTCAATAGGTAGCCATTTGAAGAACTGGTAGGCCTAAATTTTCAGCTCTGGGAATGAAATGGAACCATTGATCATGTGTTTTGACAATATGCCAATCTGTATCTAGGAAGCTCTGATGAAGGGTTATACTGATGGCCTACTGTGAGGAATTCTGGTTATATTAATTGATTGAAAGATATCTACCAGTAGTAGCTAGCTCATTTATTTGAGTCTAAAATGTCATTCTTCATGGGAGTAAAATGGCCCTTATTAGGATCAGAGCAAACAATATTGAAAATAGGTCTTCAGTCAGAGATTTCAGCCATAGCCAGGCAATGCAAACTGTTTAGAGCCAACCCAACAGGCCATCATGGGTCCCCATACCTTCAATTTTGTTGATAGGATATTTATTAGTTAGCCTTTTCCCCTCAATTTTTAATTTTATTGCATTTTTCATCAGTCATTTTATTCCATCATTACTTTCTATGAATTGAAAAATGGACCAATTGTAAAAGAAACAAACAAATATATATATATATATATATATATATATATATATATATATATATATATATATATATATATATATATATATATATATATATACATAATTAACTGTTATGTTATCAGTTGCACTTCAATGTCAGTAGCTGCTGCTTATGTTTTTGCTAATGTCTTCACACTGTGTTTAATGCTTATTCAATACCCTGTGCAATAATTATTAAATTATAACTATATTGTATCACATTACTATTAAAATGTAAAGAACTATTGTATCAGAAAGAAACATGCAAGCTTGGAACGACACAACAGACTTGTTATTGCCGTTGTGGTAGATGGTGGGGTATGAGTTTAAGAAACGGGGGCCTAAGATTAAATTTGGCACAGGGTCTCTAAGGATCTTAGGATCGGCTATGTCATACGTGAAATCTGTTTCATTTCATTTAATCTGTGATCATTTCCTTCATCATTTATCATAACAAATAAGGATAAATGAAAGGAAATACATGTTAAAAAGAGAAAAGTTAAACTGATGGGGACTGGTATGAGTCTATATGTTTAAAATGGGTTGTTTAGAGGTTAGACAGACAGACAGACAGACCTGTAGGGGTCATGCCTATCCCAGCTTCTCATGGCAGTGATGAAATTAGCAGCACATGTTATCTATTTATCCCTATTTAGAGCTAGATTCTTCTAAGATACAAACTATTAAGACCCCAGAGCAAAATAAACTCTTAGTGACTCTCCATTGGGCAGGTATTATTTACCTGGATCAGCAAAACTAATAACTTTTCTATTGGATGTTGATTCATCATAGATTATATATTAAGTCTTCAGTGCAAAACGTCTCAAATGAGGTTTCGACTTGACATGCAGTTGATCATCATGGTCCCACAGAGATGGCTCTATTTCTATTTTCGACCAGAGATCATATTTTGATAAACTGTTTGGATGAGAAGGATTGGACACTCTGAAGAAAGCTAGAAAATATAGGAATCAATGGATGTTGAGTGCTTTGAGTTTGTATGAATTATATCTCCAGTATAATCTTATAGTGTTCGAATAGTCTATTCGTCTCAGTCTATTCTAATAACGTTATAATGATAAGGTAAAATAGCAGGACATGTTTTCTTGTCAAACATGTAAGTGTAATGGAAAAGACAACTTAATATAACGATATGTATATTAATAGTAATGTTTAATCCAACCCAATTCCTAATTTTGTTAAAGAAATCGGAAATATAATCTGACCAGATGGCCTTTTATTCTCCTCTTATTAGCTATTTTTTCATATCTACCCCGCTGGCCTTTGAAAGTCTCCATACAAATTCGATAAAATGCTATAATTTTATTGCATGAACAATCAGAGGCAGATGCTCCGCGGCCTAAACCTGCGCTTTGGGCAGCGCGCGTTTATTCCCAGGAGGCTATGAACTGTAGTTAAGCATGCACCAAACATACCAACACGACCAGGCCTCAAATTAGATATAAAATATATATTTTTTCTTCTATCAGGTTAAACAGATTGTTCAAAATCGTAAATTTTTTTCTATGCAAGATCATTTCATTTATCAGTTAAAAAGACTTATATTTCAGTGAATTTATTCCATCATTACGCACAGCATGTGTGGAGAAATTCATCCACAGTCCAGAGGCTACTAGATCTGGATCGCCATACATAATGGCAATAAACCAGTCTGGTTCAGAAGGAAAGATATGAACTGAAAATGCATTTTAATCTTTATATTTTTTTAAAGATTGACTATTCCATCCATAAGCTCAGCTGTGCGCCTGGAGTCTAAGGGTGATTTTTGTTGCCACTCTAATCTTGTAAGCAAAATGTAATTAATGCCAACCAATACCTTGTCAATTAGCCCGTGTATCTCTGTGGAGATTTCAACCCCCACAGTGGCTCAGATGAGCGCTGTGCACGAACACAAACACACACATGCGCGTGCAATCACAAATAAATTATACCCCTTTTCTAAAATAAATAAAATTCTAGTTGATATATATATATATATGTGTGTGATTAGGTTGATTTATTTAAACCATCAACTTATTATTTTCAATTAAACATGGAAGAATGGGCACATGCAAAATGAACAATGAGAGGGTTTAAAGCGAGTTTTGTGTGATTTCTTAGTAAAAAAGAATATAAAGGGCGTTTTAGGCATTTAAATGATCATTATACATTAATATTCTCCGTAGCTGCAGGAGTAATAATCACAAAGGCAAGGCAGAGCATGAGAAGTTAACTTACCTCCGTGGTGGAGCTCAGTGACCGGGCAAAGTGTTTTTTTTTTTTTAGACCATCTCTCTCCGGGTGGGCATCACGTCCGCAAGCCCTGCGTGGATATTGAGGAGATGATGCGTGGATGTGTCCTGCCACTCAGTTTCTGTGTGGATCCTCTGCTGCTGCTGCTTCTCTGTCTGGATCTGCTGCACAGACAGTGAGGAGAGGGAGACGTGTGCCACCTCAGAGGCGGGACCGGGTGGGTTACATACCAGTTCTGATGCCAGGCCCATATGGCTGGCACGTCATTGGCAGGAGCCATCACATGAGAGCCGGTGATTGACATGCGGCCGCATTCACTGAGCCCCCCCCCCCCCCCCCTCCCTTTCCACTCCCCCACTCCCCCAGGGGAGAAGGACTCGCCATCTGTCACAGAGCTAAAAGGGAAAAAATGGAATAAGAGAAAGATGGCATAAATAAAAATGCTTCTTATAGCCTCTATCTTTTGGAGGGAAATGGGTTAATCTCATGTAGGGATTTAGGAAAACAATCCCCTTAATAGAAATAATTATAGTAAGCTAAAAAAAAAAAAAAAAAAAAAAAAAAAAAAAAAAAAAAAAAAATCATATCTGAGTACTGTGAAACAAAGACCATGATGATTAGACAGTGTTAGTCTCACCATGGACTAATAATATGCACAGTAGCAGAGGTAAAAATACTGTTCTGACTGACTGCAGTATAAAGAGAATGCCTGAGCAATTTTAGTTTACAAAGAAAACTAAAAAAATAACCCAAAATAGTTATTTCAAAATCTATAGAGGTCCAGGAGTGCCAAATCTAATAATAAGACAATAGAAACTGCATCACTATGTCATGAAAATTGCAACCATGCATACGTTAAAAAGCACTTCATTAATAAATGCTTTTACCTTAAAAAAAATGTATGGAGTAGTATGGATGCCACAATTTAGAAAAACACAGCAAATCATTAAAGTACTCCCTAAGTGCCAATGTGTATCTAAATTGGAGGGGAAAAAAAAGTTTAATCGCTCAGTAAAGATACAGTTAAATTAAATCACAGCTGGCCAATAAGGTGAGTTGGGGCAACGCCCTTTCTGATAAAAGAGACGGAAATGTATATATTATATATATATATTTTAAATTCAGTTATGTTAATATAGGATTAACTATATCCTATATGTCAAGGCTCAAAACAAGAGGAGCCAGTTATGGAGGCAGACAGACAGGTTTCTCAAAAACATTTTTGCAATGAACAGCGAGGGCGTCTAAGTCAGGAACTTCTGCAGGGAGAGAAGTCTCACCAAAGGCTCAAATAATCTGGCACTGATGATTGGCTGGAGGCTGGTTAAATAGAGGCTGGGGCTGGTGGATCAGATGAGCAGCAAAAAGAACTGGGCGGAGATAGACAGGTGAATGAAATAAGTAATCAAGCCAGTCATCAGCACCAAGATCAGGATATATATATATATATATATATATATATATATATATATATATATATATATATATATATATATATATATATATATATATATATATATATATATATATATATAGATATATATATTCTTAATATGCCAGTATTAATAAAAAAAGAACGTTTTTTTTATGTTATACAACTATCACTTTTTTATTTGTTACATAAAACAAATATATAATATATGTATTTTGCATGCTGAACCTTTGATTGATTCTATCTTTCCCCTTTTACATCAAATTAAGAGGACGGGGCTGAATTTGCCCTCGCTAAAATAGTAACTTGTAAGTAGATTTGCTGCATTGGTTTAACTAATCACATATTAGAGTTGATTTAATAAGCAAAATGGTATTTTAAATTTACAGTAAAAGAAGCATTGAATAATGAATAAAACAATTGTAAAGGACTTTAAAATATAATGACCATTTTAACAAATTAACTTTACATCTTACCAAGTATTTGTGGTGATAATGGATATTCAATATTCAATGAACTATTTCTGTTTTCCTGTCCTTCCGTTCATACAGAGAAGAAACGGTGTTCATTACGTGCACAAATGATCATGATCTTCAAAGCTAAGAAAACTCTACAATGGCCAGTCAAAGGCTACGGATAAATAAATATCTGGGCTGCAACTGAGATCAGAGTCAGGGTGCAATTGCCTAAACGAGTCAATTGAACTGAGCTAAGCAGAGCGTCCCGTTTGTGCTGCCAGGCTTGGCACAGGTGCCATGTGGGCGGACAGTGCCAAAGGTGGCAGAGGCACAGATTGCAGAGAGGGAGCAGAAGTCAAAGAATAAGAAAGGGAATGAATAATAAGCACGAAAACAAGGGGGAGCGGGCTTATAATCTCCATCGTATTATTGATGCAGAGTTTGCATACTAGGGAGCGAGTTCTACCTCTTTTTTTACTAAAAGAGATAAATGTTAAAGTGCTGTTGTTCCCAATCCTCTCATTAAAATTTAGCCAAAGAAAACATGGACCAGGTTTCACACACATGGAGAATCAGCACAGTTTGCACAAATGTAATTCATTTACATATCTTTTTAGCTCATGCAAACATTATCTTTAAGGAACAAGCTGCATTCATAGTTTTTCTATAGTTGAAACATTACGGTTTTTCTTTTCTTTTACTAACTAATGAAAATAAGCTAATCGTGAGTTATTCAACTGTAAAGATAAAGAGAAACATAACAAAAGCAGTCAGACATGAAAATATTTAATAACAGACTAATTCTGGGAGATAATTGCAAATGCATACAGAACAAACATGCAAAAGAGCACATAGCCTCTTTAAAATTAAATATGTTCAATTAGAGGAAACAAACAAAAAGGGAACCTAATTAAGGTGAGAAAGTGAAGATGATTACGATTTTAAATGGACAAGCTTTAAACTAAACCACTGAAATAGCCTTGTATAGTCACTGTATAGTTTTCAACATCTACAACATCTCCCTGAAGAAATATATATGATTTACAACAACATTTATTTCCATTTGGGATTACCAAAGTATTTTTAGTAGAACCAAATTGAATATTAATAGTTGCTGTGTTGTGGAAAAGTGGATCTCTGCCCTTGTCTCAGATCTTGTATAGCCTCTACCATGTTGCCTGGTGTTTTCTTCCCATCATCTATAGCTAACGTCCTGGTTCCTGCAGAGATTATGTGTCCTATTATATTGACATTATGGTCACCACCCAGTGTTCAAGAGGATGTGCAGTTTTTCCTGTTTCAAAAAAACAGCACTATTTTCTTAATGTATCTGTGTCCCCGCATCTCCTGACTTAAAATAGGATTTCTTTAATTTTTTTTCAACACTCTTCTTATCCTTCTCCTGTCAAGTGCACAACTAAATACTTGATGATTCCCCCTGAACTGTGAAGTCAAAATCTCTACCATATCTTCATAGGGTTGTAGTTGTTCCACATTGTTTTCATTTTATTGGAATGTCTTTTTGAGCAGCACATATTATCATTTTATTACCATTTAGATTTTAATGTCTTTTTGTGAGATTTCTGGTGCATAGGATTTTGTTCCATTTTTTAGACCTCTTCTCAACTTTCTCCCTGATTTTTCTGCTCCATTACTTGGCTTTTCTGATGTTGTTTGCTCTGTAATGTTGTCTTATAAACCAAAGTGGGATTTAACAGTTGTTTCTATACTGTTATCCAATTATTTTACAGATTAAGTAATTTACAAAGGTTACATTTTATTTATATTTGCTTTATGGGCAGCATGCTGTTGTTCCTTAATATTAAATTCGCAACAATACATCCTACTTTTGCAAGACACCATCAATGTTTTCTAATCATTCCAGCAAAACAAAGAGTAATGTAGGATATACACACACAGATATTTATAGGTGAACTAAAATTACTATTATAAAAACTATTACTGTAAAAGAATGCTGCAACCCCCTTTTCTATAGAGAAATTAGGCTGAGACATTTACAAGAAATAAATTAGCATTGTTCTTTTTCTTGGTCCTTTGTTTGAAAACTAATGTGGCATTTTTACTGAGTTTGTTCCACTCACAGGGTCATACTACCGGTAATGACATAATGCTGTAAAATGTAAATATTATCTCCCTTTTAAAATATATTAAAATAAAAAAATGGTTTATTTCTGTTGTAAAGAAGATGATTTCTCCGGCCCCAAATTACATTTAAATCTCTTACTAATAACAATATCATGTAATGTATAAAACTGATATATTGGGGTTTATGCAATAGGCTATAGCAACTCTAACCTTAGCTTACCCTACTTTGAATTAGGAAGCAAGATGTCATTAAGATCTTTTCGATATAAAATGTAAATATCAGACGTAATTAGAGCATGGATATTAAGACTTTGAAGTCAATTTTGAGGTTTCAAACATGCTTGTTTAGGTGTCAAGTTAGGTGTCTATTATTTAGATATGAGTGACATCTGCTGGTTAAAAGGAGCTACTACACTTTGGCTGCAAGATTCATTCAAAAAAGCAAAACCTTGTGCTTTGTTGCTTATAATAACCATCTAAAGCACCAGTGGATTTATTATTATATGATGTGTCCTTTTCTAAATACAGTTAGCGATTTTATTGTCGACTCTTATCACATTTTGGTGATAATCTGTAATAAACCATGAGTAGCTATGTGTGTTCAAAACGAAAAGAGCGTTATCCGCTTGCGTCCTCTTGTGGTGGTCTATCAGAACTACAAATGAATAAAAATACACATGTTTATATTTTGGTCTTAAATATTAAAAATCATAAAGGAATTACCACGAAAAACATAGTTATTTACAGGATTCCATCCTTGCGCTCTGTTGATGTTCCAGTTTATGCCCAGAACCCAGCAAGTCAGCGCTCTGTTTATTATCAAATGTTTATAGAATCACAAAAAAAGGTACATTTCCTGCAATAAATGGGGAGTTAGTGAAAAAAATTTAACAATCCATCTATCCATCATTAAAATGTGACTTATAAGTTTCTTTAAAAAAATTTGACTCATACATAAAAGGCAGGTTTTATGGCTTCTTTGCTGATTATTACCCTGGCTGTCATCTCAGGTGGACGGCCATGCTTTAATTGGTCTTCATTTGTGCCATACCCCTTCTATTATCAGATAATGTGCTCTGAGAGATGTCCAAAGCGTAGATTTTTTTCTATACCCTAATTCTGCTTTAAGCGCCTCAACAACTTTTCTCTGTGACCTTTTTGCTGTGCTTCTTGGTCTTCATTATGTGCTTTGTTTATCTAACACTTTTCTAAAAAA